AAAACTAGTTTATCACACATAGTGGAATGTATTAACACATTAAGGATGAGACTGTGTCACAGATATCTTAATTGGACATGGTTTTATATATATATATATATATATATATAACAATACTCAGTGAAGGATTTTATGTAGAAATGATTGACTTGCAAACTTGACTGTTTTCTAAGATGTAAGCAGTGAGTAAGTAGGTCTGATAATAGACAAGATTCTTTGAAATACAGAAAATGAAGAGGAGATTTAGTGACTCCTTTATCGATATTAATGATATGTTATTTACTTAAAGCCAAAATGGCATAGATGGCTGAGGCTAAATGTGATATTTTTCAAAATAACCAAAGTAAGCCTTGTCTGTATAATATTTATTCATAAAAGGTTATTTATTCCATTAAAATAATTTTATTTTTCCTGAAAAAAACGTGCCACAAAACTGTGATAAGCTGAGTAAAAATAACAAGTGGATCCCAATGAAATATATCCTTCAAAAGGATGAAGTTACCTTGAAGTGTTCTTTGTGCGTCCTAAATAATCATCATCAAAGTATAGTAGAAAAAAAATCTTATTTCTGCTTGATGATACAACCGGATTGTATTATATTGTGATGTACAGTTTTCGCTATTGTCTGAAAGTTGTTTGGCCGCACAAGTGACCTGTTACAGTAAATTATATCACTTTCTAAAATATTTGGTTTCAGGTTAAAAAAATCAGACCATAGTTAAATCTTGATTATACTCAAGTATCCGATTAGAAACTCTTGGCAGGTAACTGTTGCCACCTTTAGACATCAATGACCACACGTGAATACTTCTGCCGCCTAATTTGCTTGGATTGTGCCTTAGACGGCAAATTTTAGTTTTGCTATTTCGGCTTTTTAGGAAAAAGAAATACTACCTGTGAAGTCTGAGTTATCAAATTTTCAAATAATAAATAACATCTGACAGTAATTTTATTTTCTGACTTAAGAGGTTTTATTTCACATGAACAAATCTGAGAGAATCACTAATAGTTATTTATCCCCATCGTCTCATGACATTCACAAATTCATTTCAGACCTAAATTAGTCGCATTTTAAGAAATTCTATAAGTATACTCATTTTATACCGACATTCAAGATCATTTTATATTGTTCGTTTGGTAATACTCTTCTTATGAGAGTACACAGCTCTCGAAAATCACTTACAGTTCGATATGTTCAATAATCTGAACTATTGAATAGTCAGAGTTATAAATAGCTACCAGCAGGCGATTCATAATTATTCCTGAAGTTAGCGGCAGTGCTTTATGTGAATCGGAATTGATCTTTAATCAATTTCTTATTTAAAATTGTATTCTTGTTACTAGTTAGTTCCTAGCTTTGGTTCCTAACTAAAATACTACCCTTAGCGCTTCGTTTTTAAGTCATTATGTATTTTTGCATCCAACTAACTATTTAAACGTCTACAGTGGTGCTCACTTATTCCCTTCAGTCCACCACATGGCTGTAAAAGCTTCAAGTGCTCGTTCACTCTTGTTATCACAGCCAAGTCTGGGTGTCGCGGTTTCACAAAGCAAGTAATCAGGATGTCCAGGACAGAGTTTTAGGTGGAAGAGCTAAGTCACTTAACAGGATTGTGAACCTTCATTGACACAGCTGGTTAGAAAAAATGTTACGAATGGCTGCTGATCGACTGTCCTGTCGCCCGATGTTAACCGGAGGAGATTAGGACTTGAAATGTCTGGACTGAACCATGGAACCAGTCCATGAAGATTCTGAATGTTGGTTTGAGCCGTGTAGAAAAAAATGAGCTTCACGCTTCGACTCTGCATGACAACAAAAATTGCTAGTTAGAGACTGTAGGTGATATAACTGAGAAGTGATCTCAGCGGTGCAGATGCATTCACACACAACCGTCGTCATAAGTACCACGTTAAGTTTCTTTATTGTTTCGTCCTTCCTATTTCTTCTCCTTTCTCTACGACGTTTTACAGCTCCTGGTTATTTCCTCCCTCGTTTCTGTATCCTCCGTTTTGGTCCTCACTACATTGAGGTGTGGCAAATCCGGCAATTTCATGAAGGCCTTGAGTTCGACCCCTGACGCGGTGACATTATTCCCGGGTGTACACCTTACACTGACTAAATAACTAGTCTTCAACCTACTGAAATAAAGATGGTTAAAAGAAGTATCCCAAATCGTAGTTTAACGTTCATGATTGCCAAAATCATATGTACTTGGATTCCCTTTTAGACTAAATGATAGCAGAGGTGAAGAGACTGTGTACTACCGGATAAAAAATCCTCCATGATTTCAGTGTCTACAGAGTATGTATCTCACATAAATACTCTTTTTCATCTATTATAACATAACATTTTACAAGTAAGATACTTCATTTAGACAACACACCTCATCAGTTTGATAGTAAGGATGAATGGTGGCTAGTAGTGGCATCCAGGATGGGCTTTCGTTCTATTTGGGAGTCGTCAGCTGGGTGTACTTGTCTCCGAATGCTCAGTGTTGTTCCCACTAGGACTTAAGCTGTGGACCTATCACTTTAGAAGCGCGGAAGTTATCCACTGGGACACTAAGTCATGGAAGCCATCTTTTTCGTGCAATGGCTATAGTTGATGTGGTGTTGCTTGTATTATCATCGCTATTTCCTGCCATTCTTCCCTTCGACAACACCATATGGAAAATTGCATTGCACTGATTCAAAGTGTCTTACAGATGATGCTTTGGAATAGTAATTCTGTGTCGACAACGAAGCTTCTGCTTATTCGGTTATGCTATCTCTTAGCATATCTTATTTTTGTGGGTATATTTCGCATTTGTTTTAATGTAATCGGAGGCACGTTTAAGTGGTCCAAATGTCTTTCCATCTAAAAAACATTTAACTGACAAAGTAATGCGTCATCTTATCGAAATTCTTTGCTAAAATAACCTTTTTGATGTGACCGAAACTTTATGATACCAGTTATTCAAGCATGTCATGAAGAACAGTTGTATAAGTGTTTTCTGAAAACAAGTTAAAAGTAGTTCCCTTTTGCGACAGCATCGAGCTACAAGTCTTATTTTAAATAGAATGACGGTTTATTATAGCTCAAATATGGATTCTTCGTAAAGTATTCAGATTGATCAAATAAAACTTGTGTTTACTTCCATTCAGCTTGCAATAATAATATATGAATATATATTGTTAACACTTTCTTGCAAATCTTTAACAAACGTACTTCAGAGTAGCACAAGAGAGATTACTTATTATTGTAGTAATCATGAAGGAATTTGATCAGTTGGAGAAACATTGAGAACCTTAGAGTGTTAGACAGCTGTTTTGTCCTAGTATGGGTTGACTCAGCAGTACCCACTCACGACTAGGCTACGGATCAGACTCACCACCATTCACCTACACTAGAACAAAATTGCTGTACAGGGTACGAAGGCTTTCAACAGTTCTACAACTGATATCAGTGCGTGATAAGTACTTCCTCAGAAATAAAATTCCTACTACCCTCAGTTGGTAGAGCACCGGGCCGATAACCCGGTGGTATCTGGTTAGAATCTGGCCGTGGTCCAAATTTTCACTTCACCTTTAACCATCACCTAGTATAGAGATTAATTTATAGTTATTCAGACGCTGGACACAAACACATACATGATACATTACGTTAAGTGGACTGAGTCAATAGTCATTCACCTGAATTGAACGTTATTGTTATTTATTTTGAGATGTTATAAGATGTTGATTATATCGACGTTTTTGATGAACGGTCGTGCTAATGCATAAAGCATGTAGGAAAGTAGCAATTCTTCAAGTCAAAGGAAAGCCTTTAAATGTTTTTTTATGAGGAAATGGTTATTATGGTAAACACATGTTTTCGTATATACATTGTCTTTTCTATGATTTCGTCTATTCTTACATTCAGAATGACCCTTATTACTTTCTGAGTATGTATGGACTGTTATTATAATATTATTATTATTAGTCCATTGGGTTCCTAATAGAACAAAGGGATTCAGTAGCACATCTCCAATACTCTCTGTTCACTGAAATCTTTTGAACCTCGCTCCACGACAGACCACAAGCTCTCATTTCCTCCTCACACGATCTCCTCCATAACACCCTCAACACGGACACCCAACTCGTCACTTCCCATCTGGATTCCACTCGAGCGCCTGACCTGACGCCTGATGTCCCCAGTCCACCTTCTCAGTGTATGCCCAATCCAATCCATCTCCACTTCCTTCCAGTGCATATTTGTTCAGCGATAGCTTCTTGGGTGGTTTGTTACCCGGCCAGAGTTCCTTGTTGCTTATTCTTATTATTCTAGCCATCTAATCTTCAGTAACGAGCCAGTGTAGGCAGTTGTTGATGAATGTCTGTAGTTTGTTGGAAATCCCTTTCGTAATGCGCCAAGTCTCTCAACCACATAGGAGCACTGATTTGACGTGGGTGTTGAAAATCCGGATGCTGTTCACGCTTTATGCTGAGTGCACAAGATCTCCACACTTGTTTTAGACTAATGAACGCCTGTCCTGCTTTTACGATTCTGACTTTGACATCCTGGTCTGTGCCTATGCTGCCTGTAGTTGAAACGGTGCTGCCTAGATAGGTAAAGGAGGTTACTTCGTATAAGTTTCTCCCGTTGATGGTGATTAGAGTTTGTTGTTGTTGGAGTTGTTGGTGCGGTATCTTCATGGACTAGACAACAATAAATTTTAAAGGATAAGTCACCTTCTGTCTACGTTTGCAACGGAAAAGAAAGAACTGTTGATGGTCGTGCTCTAAATTAATCATCAGACAGTATAAGTATCACTTCGTTTACCGCTTTCTGGAATACAATAGGCTAACAGTTTTATAAATAGTCAATGAATATTTAGTTTTTATGTTGAGAATCAACGGGTTTTTCAACACTGTTTGTCATTTTATAGGAATCTAGGTGTTTTAGTGAATTTTAATGAGTACAAGTACCATCCCTACACAGTTATAAACATTATCAACTCTTGTATATATGTATGACTTACCTGCATGAAATTCCAATTTGTATTCTTGGTCTATGTGGCATCTTAGTCAATTATTAGTGTGTGTTTGACTGCAATATTTAACTGAATTGCGATATGTATTTCTATGCTTTCTTATGACTGTACTGTTGAAGTTAGTTTTCATGTAATTGTTGCTTAAATGACAATACCTCCATCAATACATAAGTACCGTATAGAGAAAAGAAACTGAACTGTATATATATACTATCAAGATTATGTTGTAGTATTCAGTGGTACATTGTGGGTGTTTAACAAATATATATGTGAATTACTAAACGCATATATATAAAATTTAATGAAGGCGACAAATTAAAACCACTTCCTCATTAAAATTATTGATATAATAACTCCACGTTTCCTATTTGATTATCATTGAGTACTTCGGCTTGCTCAGATTGGTGGGATTATAATTCAAATCTCTTTTGATTGGTCGATTAAATTTTTACGAAGGGAATACTACAAAACGAAGAAAAATTTAAGGACAAAAATTGACTTGATAACTTTAGTTCTAAGTAAACAATATAAGAGAAAATGTTCTATAGTTGTTGTAGTAATTGAAAGTGATGAAAATATAAAATTCATGAAGAAATCATGCTTATGAAGTACCATAGTCAATAGCTTTGAGTAAAGTGAAACATGATTAGTCGATATAAAGTTAGATTTTTGGAAAACATGGCAAAATGCTTAAAAAAACCAGAAGTTTAGCGGCTGATTTTTCTATCGGAAGGGCTTTCAGCATTGGTACTCTTATGTCTAGATTTATTAGGGCTTACAATTATAACAGGAAAACGTTATTTATTTATTGGAATAATACCAAAGATATCAAGTTTTGGAAATATTCCGACTTTCTGTAATTCTTTATATCCTAATGTTTAAAGTCAATCGTTTACAGGTATGTTTTATAACTGAAGGATTCAGTAGAAATTTGCCCGATCATTATTGAAGCCATAGTGTACACGAGCAAAAAGAGCTCTTATGAATAGACTCAAGATGGAAGCTTTACACGAAATACATATATTTGTTTTATTTCTGTTCTTTAGGAGTTAATAGGTATTTAAATGAGATTTTTCATCAACTTGGTTAGGCTATTAAGTATTTTTTCATGTATCATAATTCTTTGTTAACATTGTATAGGAATGAATTAGCTCGAATCGCCAGTGTTTTTGTAAGTAAAAAATCACCACTTAATCAGATAGAAAGATAAACAAAAATATCTTTCCACGACAAAGTAAATCAAAAGTTATTGACGAAATATTTGGAAGATAATCAATATCTACTAAGCAAGTTAATATAAGGACCGGTCTCGAGAATTGTAGTATCACAGAAACCAGGAAGGTTACCGTAGTATATTTTATGCAGACCAAAACATCCAGATCATTAGAAAAATCAGCAATTTTTATTTAGTCAGTTGTATTTATTGCAGACACCGCTATAAATGAACACAGGCTAGCTGTCAAATGTCATGAAATGCAGTCATCTGTCTCAGTACATTATGAGAAACTTGACCACATATTTGATCAGAGAAACTTCGAAATCTTTGAACGTTCAAACTTAAAAGCACCTAGAGAATGTCTGTATTCACGGAAATTAGCAAGTGATCACCTTGTTGACCTAGACGAGGTATAGAAACCAGTTTGAAACAACTCATCGATAAGAAATTAACCAATTCTAATTTAAGAGATACATCAAGAAAGTGATCATCAGCCAATTAGATTACGATAATTCACATGTATTCAAGCTAGCATCTACTTTTAATCAGTCAGTTGAAAAGAACCTCTCTACAGAATAAGATATCTCACCAGTAATGGTGAAGGACACGACTTCAGTTAATGAGGATCCTCCTTTCTCTGGTACACAAGAGTCAATTGATCAAACCAAAACGGCCCCTATGAAGTCAATTAAACGAAAAAATTAGTCAGATCAAGCTTAATTTTAGTAGTTTTTTCAGACAAGAACGGCCAATTACTGTGAACAGAGCTACTGGGTATAAACAAGTCAACCAAACAGATGGTTATACCCCTTTTTTAAAACCAAAGGCAAAATTTCAGTCAATCTGGTTAATTTACGCTCACGCAGTCAGTAACCAGTCAATCTGCTTACTCTGACAAAGTTGCACCTAAAGAATATCCATACACAACCAGTTACTTCACTTTCTTGTGAAGCTCTGATGATGATGTTTAGCATAGCAGTGAAACGTTTGTTAACTAAATCTTAACTCGCGAAACAGCTCACGCTGAACATCTACACCCCAAGCTACAAATATTTTTTTCATAGGAAACATCCGAAGTTCCGAATATTGTGTTTTAATTGTCTGACACCTGATAAAAAGAGAAGTAAAAGCTCACTCAGTAAGTTATGAACTACACCTATTGTGAATGAACTTAGAATCCTCACTATGTGTCTGACTCTACCTTGGTAGGTTCAGTAGTGTTCGAGCTCGTGACCAGTCGACTGGAAGACGAGTGCTTAGACCAACGACCAACAACTCTATACCTGATAAACAACTAGATGTTAATCAAGTACGACTACCTTATGTGTGGGTAAGGTATTTCTTACTTAGTATACTGTAGTATAGTGCTTGAATTCGCCGAAGTTTATCTTATCATTTAGTTCTGTTCATAATTGTCAGAGTTATTTCCCAGTGAAATGGCTTACGGTAGATAAAGATATTGGTTATAATTTTTCTACAAAATACTTAGTAATCAACTTTCAGCCTAACTCCATCTCATAACTAAAAGATTTTCTACAATGAAGACAGATGTAGTTTGGTCTCTTTTGGTAGAAATCAATAAAAATCACTGCAAACAATGAACAGTCATTATATAATTTGATGGCAAGTAGTAAATTTTTCTAGAATAAGAAAAAGTTAATATGATTATTTGATAACTGTTACCACCCTTACTGTTTCTAAATGCTCATGGGAGTAAGTAAAAATTAATTTTTTCCCCGATAAATTTGATGATTTTGAAATGTGTGTGGTTTCCCACTACTCATTCATTTCAGTTCCTTATACTATGACGAACAGAAGAAAGATAGACTGGGTTTGCTTAATTCTCCTACATGTAGCTATCTTGTCATTTTCACAGTTGTTGCTAATACAGTTGCTAATATTTTCTTTGTTGAATTCTTAAAAGAGAAAATAGATAATCGTGAAGTAAAAGAATGCTATTAAACTGTCATGAAGTATTCAGAAACTTTGAAAATTAAAATGAAACGATGAAAGTGACCACCCCAAGGCTGACATGTTATCTGTCAACAGTTTGTTTTAGGCGAACGGAGAAGCTGTCTGTGTTTCTAGAGTGTTATTCGTTATCTTCAGCCGACGGTTTGTTTAGGAGAACATGAAGGACATCTTTTTGTTTTCAACCGCATTCATATGTGTTAATTAGCATACCGGCAGTCTTAGAACTGGTTATTTGGGCTACAGAAAAACTCGATCTTTTCAAATACATTTTCAAGCACTTTCCTTCTCAGTTGTCTAGATGCAATTGCACCCCAAAAGATTTGGTTGACTCGGTCATACAGGTTTCTCACAGCCTCATTTCGAAAACTTATAGAAAGTCATGTTGATCAAACGAAAGAGAGTGTGGGTTCACTAGTTCTGTGTAACAAAGGCTTTGGAAACCCAGCATTTAGAAGCTTACACATGTACAGATATGAGGTTCGTTCAGCTGTCGTCTTGCAATGTTAATGAGGTTTCCAATTATGATTCAGTACCTACTTTGAGATTTATTTTAATTTTTGGTTTACTTCCTTGTCCCTATTTCTCACAGCTCCTATTTCCCACTTAAATGTCATCACATTTTACTCCAGTTATTAATTTTCCAAGTGGATAGTTTTCACTGTGATCGGCTGTGTACTTTTCACTATTCACCCTATGATAACGCAATAAGTTCGCAACTCAAGATGCAGTTTAGCATTCTTTTTTGATTAATATGTGTTGATTTGTTAACATATAGTGAACTTGCTTACTGTAAATATGTATACGACTAACTAACGTAAGCGATTTATTAGTAGGGGGAATCTATTCTAACTTAATTTTGCTGATATCTTTCTGTCTGAGAAAACATTGAAATCTTTTTGTGTCATATTAGAGTCAGAAGGAAGCAACCGTTGTACCATTTTATGCATACATTCATCAAATTACTTTACAGTTCCTCCTGTGATTTGACAACCGTGACAAATATAGGGAATATCAGTCAACATACAGTAATATAGTGTCAGAAACCACTGTCTTTTAAAACACGCCAAAGCAATTCAGGATAAAAAGAAAGTTACAGGTCACTGGTATCATAATTAAAACGAATTTCAGTTTCCTCAGTGATTTTCGTATCTTGTCTGAAAAGACCAAAACAGAATTACTAATAAGTCACTGATACTTCATTTTTTCCGTCCGATATAAAATATCATTTAGTCCTATGGTGACATGGAGGAGATCGTGTGACGAAAAAATGAAAGCTTCTGGGCAGTTGTGGAGCCAGGTTGAAAAGACTTCAGAGAACAGAGTGAAATGATGACATATTTCTGAAGTCCTATGTTCCACTAGGAACCCAAAGGAGAGATAAAAATTAGTAATAATTATGACAATAACAATAATTAGCCACTTTTTATCAGAACAAATATAACGTTTTTGCAAAGCTGTCTGAAGAAATAATGAAATCAAATGCAATCTGTTCTGCTTGCCAGTCTTGTTCGTTTTCATTAAATATTACCAGAAAGACGCTTATTGTGGTTTATTGTGCATACTTTGTCCAGGCTTTCTACGATTAATCTTAATAACTAAGATTCATCAACACAATTAGAATCTGCAAGTGGTACGATTCTATTGTACAAAACTACTGAGTAAATATTAGAACAATATACTCTTCAGATTATGATACCTTCGCCATATTTTGTCGCCTTCTTTACAACTGTATACAGGCTACAAATATTATAAGATTTATAGGGAGAAATGTAATCAACATAATTCAGATATCCAGAGTATGTTAGTCATTCGATGAAGGATAATGTAAGAAATGAAACA